CCACTATTTCCTTTCACAGCAGTGGCCAAGACCGAGATGACCCCTACCTGCAACACTAGCTTTTGTTAACTTGAAGCCACACTGCAGCTAACCAAGCAGACCACACACGAAGAGAGGAGGAAGCGCACGGCTGAAAACGAAATAGAGAGGATAAAGAGGCAAAGGGGAGAGAAGTTAACGGTCTTGTTATCACAGAGGGTGAAAAATGAAATGGTGAGTAATTTTTTCCGCCATAAAAACTCATAATGTATGTTCACCACCTCCCCCCGGTGTCAAACGTGTTATCCATAGCATCTCTCATCCTCGACACTGTCCTCTCTCTCACAATGTTGCTGTTAAAGTGAGTTTGGTTTATTTTCTTTTTATATAGAGTTTCCATCATGCTCCACTCCCTCTGTGGTTCCAGCGCGGCTGGCCAAATGGCAATAAAATGCTCAAAGGACATCAGAGAGGGAAAAGGAGACCTATTTGTTAGCCTAACAAAATCTCCAGTAGTTAAATAGGCAGTCAACATGTGAGAAAAAAGGGGCAATGCTCTGCTTCAGTGCTATTGTGAGGGGTAAGACAAGTGGCTGAACAATAGCCGCAGATTCGTATCTAACCAGTGTCGGTGTCTGTGTAGGAGGTGGGTCAACAGTCAGACAGTCATCTTTATTTATGTTGTGGGAGGGTCATTTTTATGTACAAGGTCAATTAAAACTCTGAAAATATGCAAAATACAAGAAAATAAAGTAAACACATTGAAAAAGAAGAACATAAGTCAAATAAAAACAGCTTCGGTCAAATAAAAAAAATGCATGCAAAGTCATCATAAAAAACAAATGCTTTCAACTGCTGTGTTTGCTCAAATTATGGCTTTAAAATGCGAGTTGAGTGACTCTAAGTTGAGATTTTCCTGCAGTCTGTTCCATTTGGATGTGAAATGAATGAAAACTGAAAGCAGATTTCTTTCCTTGTTTTATTGTGGTTTTCTGGAACTTTGAAAACTAAACAGTCCTGACAAATCTGTGTCGGTGTGCCCTCTGTCTCTCTGTCTCTCTCACGCCGAAGAAGATGCGTGTTTCTGTGGTCCAATCTATCACCTGAGATACAAACGCGAAGCCTCCGGGCATGGAGACATAAGACACAAGAACAAGGGCTTAGATGAGGGTTATATGTCTAAATACATGTTACAAGTAGTGCTCAAAAGAACAGAGAAAAACAATTACAGGATGCATTTGCCAATATGTTTTTTTGTCAACAAATCCCATGAAGAGACCAAACAAATCAACAATGTTTCAGTCTGTCTGTCAATACTTAACAGTTTCCTGTCTGTGGCACGCAGTCACAATGGTTCCTATTGAGGATTTAAATTTTTAAAAACAGGTTACAAATACATACTATAATTTTTATGAAACTCTAAATAAGTTCCTACAACAGCAGGTCTGTGTAGTCTTTAACAAACAAGGAGCAAATAGTGCATCTGTTTGGGACTATTTTCAGCTACAGATTTGGTTTTGTTAAGAGTATTTACAACAGCAGGACGGTGTTCAAAAGTGATCACAGAGAAATACGCTGCTTTGGCAACACAGAAAATACTTTTGGAATCAATTAATTGTTTAATTGTTTGGAAATATTAAACGGTTTCAGTCATCACACCATCATCTTTTCCCTCTGATGTCTGCTGGAGTCAGTCTGCAGTATTATATATGATGTATGGCACTGTCATCCAGTACTTAATTTCAGCTCTGTCTTTGGTATCCAACAGGTCAGTTGGGTCTCCTATCTCTGCTCAGTGACCCGCTCACAGTCTGGGTCATCACACAGCTCTGGAGGTTAAATAGCTGTAAGAAAACACACTAATCTGCGAACACTTGGTGAAACTGGCCTTAAGCTCCCTCTCCACTGTCCTGCCTCCCCCCTGGCACCCGTGCCCGGGAATAGGCATGTAAACCATGTAGGCCTGACACCAGTTGTTTTGACTGAGAGCACTGAGGCACTGACTTATTGTGCAACACAAGGCAGAGCCTTTAGCCTGGTGAGCTATAGTGCCGAAATCCCTGCTGTAAACTCACCCCTTCCCACTTACACAACTGACCTTTTTCCAGGAGGAATTTGGAAGCATTTTCCCAAGAAAGGTTAATCATATCAGAGGATTTTGATACACACATTGGAATGTATTTCTCGGCATTGTTACAGTGTTGCTAAGAAATCCACACCCATTAGAGTCAATTTGTTACCTCTGATAGTTTTGAGCAGGCATCCAGACGGTATCGGTGCTGTGAATGGACAACGCCCCAGTCGCCACTTAAATTCTCACTTTAAAGTAAACAGTGGAATAAAGAGACTAAAATACTCTTACATTTACAATCAAGTTGTCGAAAACCATGTGGCACTTCACTTATTGTCTTATTGAATCAGGTTATAATAAGGGCCTTCAATGAAATATGGCTTGAATCAGATGTAGGTAGACAACATAAGCTTTTTAGCCATGCTGGATCACTTTGGTCCAGACTATTATATTTCAATTCAACTTTATACAGACATTTATGGTCATTAGGACAAAGCCACTGGTGATGGCTAAATTCTGATGTTCACAGAATGAAATGTTCCCCTCAAGATGAATTATAATAACTCTGGTGATCCTTTAGGTCAAAATAAAAAAATTCAGAAGCACTTTTCATTAAAGGCTAATTAGCCAATGTTAGCATGCTAACACGCTAAACTTATATTGTGAACGTGGTAACTGCCAAACCATTTAGCCGTTTAGCTCAAGGCTACGCTTTGCCTAAGTAGCCTCACAGAGACGCTAGTATGGTTGTACACTCTTGTTTGCGTCCATACATGATAGAAATCTAGCTAGCTTAAAATATATACATATTGTTTATTCATATATTCAGAATTTTACAGAGAAAGAGTAGATGTTTTTTTCTGACATACGCATCATCAACAGCAGCTAGCATTGCTGTAGACTCATTAGCATCCAAACTTAAATAGAAAACTAGCTAAAGTCTGTGTAATATAGAAATACAGAAATGTTCTTTGGAGCGGGTTGAACAGAGTATTTGTGTTTGCTTTTATGTGAACATGCTTTTATTTCTGCTTTGGACACGCTGGCAGCTGAGGAATACTTGTCCGTTATTTGTGTGCATTCTCTGTGTGCGTCTCCGAGCATGCACTCTGTATTTGTGCAATACTACTTCAGTCAGTGTGTGCAGCAGGGTGTGTCACACCCACCGCTGCATGCTTATTACATTAACACGCAAACTCCATTTCAGGCCATATTATAATTAGATTTTTTAGATGTTCTTTTCTTGATATTACACTGAGACACTCTTCTGTACTTGTGTTACATGACTCCGATGTGAATTTAAAGTCAGATAGAAGCTAATTTATTTATTTAGGTGCAACAATTCAGACGCTCAGACAGACATTAGGAAGTGTTCCAGATGGAGATGTTCGAAGACTACAGAGAGGAAGCCGATCTTCCCACCAGGGCCACAAATCTGCCTTTTTGATTAGGCCCCCATTTGTCTCCAAACTACACCGCTGATTAAAGCACTATTTCTGACATTTGAGGGAATCCTTGTGAGATTTAGAGAATGAAGGCCAGGACTCTGAAGGGGGATCTGAGATCTTAGCGCACTTGTATTTTGTTGGTGTGGTCTCAAAACCTTCCCAAATTATCCCCTCACAATTCTTTTACTGCCCAGATAATGATTCATTACAGTTGCAAAGCTCCACACAGTGGTTTAACAACTTTTGATTCCAGTAAAGCCCTGCCTGCAAACCTTGCCAATAAACAAACGTACTGTAATTAGGCTACTTAAAAACCTAAAAGTTGGACTTCTCAAACCTCCCTCATGGTGGTCTTTAAGTTCTTGATTTTTAATCAGAGGTAATAAACAGACTGCTTCAAATTACTCAAACGCCCCCCTCCACTTAAAACTGTGTTTTACTTATTGTTACTTCACTCTGAGTTGTGACTTTCACACTGCAGTTTGATACTCAAAGGAAGTTTCTCACCTTAAATTTGAATTTAAGATACGAGATCATTTTGGGACATCACATCAAGTTTTGGATCGTGGTCCAATATATTACACTAGTGTAATGTGGAAAGTTGAGACTGAATATTGGACTCTCAGTGAAGTATAGGAGACATATTTGGGCCTGGGAGGTTCAAAATTAAATATATTTAAACATTTATTGATTCTGATTCCCTCATTGAGAAGAAAGTGACGTCCAGTTAGCCGTCATTGTTGGTCGAGATTGAAATATCTTTTTTTGGATGGGTTACCATGACATTTTGTTCTGACATTTGTGGTCCCCAGACGATGTATCCTAATAACGTTGGTGATCGGCCTGACATTTCCTCTAGCGCCACCATGAGGTTGAGATTTGTAGGCATTTATTTCCCCCTCAGGATTAACTGTAATCATAGTGATCCACTGACTTTCCATCTAGCGCCACCATCAGCTCAAACTATACTTTGCTATTATATTATAGAATTGTTAAATGATTGCTTGCTAATGGCAGTTTCCCATCAGTCTCAGCTTTACAGTCGCCTACTTTGTGTTTAGTGGCACTAATCAACTAATGTTTGTATGCTATGCTAAGCTAAGATACTGAATAGTAAACTTTAAAAAAAACTTTATTAAACTTATTCAAATAACAAACAGACATTAGTGGTGATAGTAAACATTATACCTGCTAAACATCATCATGTTAGCATTGTCATTGCATGCTGACTGCAGGACTTGTTAATAAGTTAATTAACTTTTTTAATGTTAATATCCAATGCAGTGTTTTATATGTATAAGGGATCTTTAATCTTCATGGTGTCAAACTGTAAAATAAAGCTATTTTGTAGGGTTGTAGGGTTACAGACTTTCCTCTTCAGCTCAAAGAAATCTTCACAGGACTGTGTTTACATCCTAAAGAGAAAAACCTGAGCCAGCCTTAATGCAATATCCTGAGCTGCTCCTGCACATAAGTGTGTGTGTGTGTGTGTGTGTGTGTATGAAGGGGAGGAGGGAGGTCTCCAAAGTCCCCAGGCAGAATAATGAAGGTAAATGGATCCCAGATGGACTGTTTTTCCTCTTTTCTCTGTGTTGTCAATGACGTGAGGAGAGTGACAAGCCTCTAATGGGAACCAGACTCACACACTCTGGCTTTGAACTCCACCGACATCGTCAAGCCGCAGATTGAGCCTCTCTCCGCCTTGGGACAGTGCAGCTCTCCTCCTAACAACAATAGCATTAAGGAAATCTTCATCCGTTTGAAGTCCACAAACAACACAGAGTGGCTGTAAGAGCTGACGAAACAATATGACTTTGTCAGGCAGACCCGTCTTACTCGAGGCTGTGCAGCTTCTCCAACAGAGAAACAATAGTCCCTTTGTCAGCTCTGTTTGAGCTGTTGAGTCTGGGATCAGCCAAACCTTGGTTTCACTTGTCATGTTAATGACTTATTTAGATTTGATAATGTGTCATCTCCAGGAGACAGCCCAGTTTGGAAATGCCCAGTTTGATTTGAAACGACTACATTGCACTGTCTTCATGAGCGAACTGATTAAATAAGTTAAAGTCTTTCTATCAGTGACTTGTTAACCTTTGAATCAACTGAGACGGGCTACGGCTGGTTGTGAATGAACAATATCCTTGTTTTGACAGTGTCCTTCTGTTTGATTCATTTAATATGTGTACTTCCTCTTGCCACTTGTTATTTTGTCTGCAGACTCAGGGTTGCTGTTTTAACACCTTGTGAGTTATTAAATGTGAAAAAGCTCTTCTCAGTGATGTCAGTACAGCAATGTTAACACTGTTACAGTAGGAATCATTGCTTTTTGTCAGTTGCTGCAAGTTGATTGTTGACTGCAGAGTTTGTACACTTTTTATAGCTTCTAAACAGTGAGTAGAACTATGTGTTAAAACCCTCTGAGATTATAAAAATCAACACTATGCCAGTGATTCTACCCGTCTGCACAAACTCTAGAGTCCGGATTTCATAAGTTGATCATTGAGACTTGTGTAGGAACTTCCTGTGACTAAATGACCGTACTCTGTTATTCAACTATTGCCTTTTATGTGACTCAGAAGAAAAAGTTCAGTTTCCTCTCCTTCTATTCTCTGGGTTGAGCTATATAATTAAGACTTAAATGTGCACATAAAAACACACATGCAATTTGAATCGTTTGTTTTGTTTGTCTTTGCATCCGTGTGTTTCTGACCTCTTTAATTTGTTATTATAAAACAATGAGTGCATGTTACAGCCAGGAGATCACACAAACCTGCAGTAGAACAGACACTACATGGCAAAACACAGCAGACTTTTCATTGGAATCAATGGGGAAAAGGAAACATCATACACACTACACTGACATTATCCTTTAAAGAGTGTTGACTTGTATCAACCTCTATTGGCAACCAGTAGGAACTGCAACAACACAGACAGCTCTTTCCAGTCCCTTGAAGTGACAGTGGCCCCTGTGATTGTGTCCCCACAGGTCTGTGGTGATGCCCATTGCCCAGGAGTTCTCTCCGGACGTCGTTCTGGTGTCGGCTGGGTTTGATGCCGCTGAGGGCAACCCTGCTCCTCTGGGAGGGTACAAGGTTTCCGCCAAATGTAAGCACAGTTCTCCACCACAGACTGCACAGTCTTTACCTCAAGGTCTCGTTTTTAGCAAGGGGATGCCAGAAAGGACTTTACCCCGTGGCCCTGTGGGTATTTAGAGATATTAATAGATTATTACAGCTCCTGTCCAGCATGGACTGAAGAGCAAGAGTTGTGCCTTCTATCATACATCTCTGCATCACTGATGTAACCATAATTATAGTAATAAGTAGTTGGTACGTTGCTGTGGGAGGATCCACAAGGTAAAAATATATATTTGTTTTCATAGAATTTTGCAATTTATAGCAAAGCTTATTTGGTAAGTCTTACAGTAAGTGGTTTCATGATTGCAGCTCACCTGCCAAGCTTTATTCCTACTGTTCATACTACATTTCTGTGTATGTTTGTGTACCACAGGTTTCAGCTTTCTGACCCGCCAGCTGATGTCTCTAGCAGGAGGTCGTCTGGTTTTGGCCCTTGAGGGGGGTCACGACCTTACAGCTATCTGTGACGCATCTGAAGCCTGTGTCAGTGCACTACTGGGCATACAGGTGAGGCATGCTGGGTGCTGTTTAACCAGTGGATGGGGGAAGCATCTATATTCAGTGCTGAAATGCTTTTCAGGGTTAACAGAATTTGAATTTGGCTTTTGGAAGGTCAGGCACGACAGGCAGAGACTTCTTACAAGCCAATTTTTTTCTTTTTCTTGGAAAATACTAAGGATTTATCTCTGGGACATTGTAAAACACATAGTATATTGTAATACTACTTACTGTAGAAAATGTGCATTGTACATACACATTTGCATATGAACTCAGGAACTATCTCTATTTTATTTACGGGAAATTAACAATTTATTACACATTTCTTGTTGTTTTGCTTCAGGTATAAAGTTGGTCCTGATAATAATATAATGCTTTTTAACACTTTTTACTGTATCTCCCCAGTCACTTCTTAAACATTGTTTAACAAGTATTTAGCCATTAAAAATATGAATGAAGGTAATTCTTCATGGCTGCCACTCTGTCCTGTAGGACCCACTGGCAGAAGAGGTTCTACTCCAGAAGCCCAACGCTAATGCAGTCCGCTCCCTGCAGACTGTCATACAGATACAAAGTGAGCAGCACTAACACATTCAATTATTCTTTTTTTATTTTTTATTCAATCCTGTATGTAATCCTACTGAAATCCCAACAGGATCCACATCAGTGTGGTGTTTGCATTGATGACAGTTAACAGTAACCTGTATATTGCAGGTCAGTACTGGCAGAGTGTGAAGGCTTACAGTGGATCAGTGGGTCTGTCCTACCTGGCTGCTCAGAGAAGAGACTGTGAGGAAACAGATGCTGTCAATGCTTTGGCCTCACTCTCTGTGGGAGTGCTTTCCAACAAGAGGTAGAGCGCACACACACACACACA